CACTTTACCTATATTTATAATATATTTTAAAACTACACTATTCTTTTTTTTTTCGCCAATTTTATTAGAAAAGCATACAATTTACCTATATTTATAATATATTTTAGAACAACACTATTTTTTTTTTCTTCGCCAATTTTGTTGGAAAAGACCTTCAAATGTATACAACTTATTTTATAATGTAATTAAGAGATAAAAAATAGAGAAAAATTATAAAAATGTTTAAAATATACAACTTAAAGTAAAATTATATTATTACCCTAAATTATATCATTCAACACAAGGATAAATGTTGGATCGAAAAAGAATGAATCGGGAAATTTTGGAAGTCTGACTTAAGAGTTTTGAACATAGCACATGTGGACCACTGGACCGGAGGGATTGACATGAAATGATAGCTATCTTTTAGCTGCATGTAACCGCCGAATTCAGGCGAATGGATGTTTCAAAGAAATGTGTCAACCTTGTGTTCTCGGTCAAAACATTTAGGTAAATAAACCATCGATCAAATAAACTATATTTTGGTTCAACCCTAAAGTCAAATCAACAGTAAACAGCGTTAAGAATCTATAATCAACTGGGAAAATTAGTTAAAGTTAAAGTAAGGGTCAAATAGAATACATAAAAAAAAAAAAAAAAAAGTAAGGGTCAAATAATTTTTAAGTGTATAAATATGAATAAATTTAAATTTTTATATTAGTTTTTATTTTTATAATTTTAAAATTTTTAAAAAATATTTATGAATTATTTAACATATATCAATATTATTATAAAAATATATTATTCATTCATAATTTTATGTTAAACGGGTCTTTATTAATATAATTTTTCAATAAAATTTAAATTAATATAAATATTATGAGTTTGTATTACTAATATTTATTATATTAATAAATAATTTGTTCATAAAATATTATTATACACTATCAATACAACAAATATAAATATAAAATGTTATTTATTAACATCAAATTTTAAATTTTATATGAATCATTTTTTATTAAGTAAAAAATATATTGAAAAAAAATCTTAATATTTGAAATTTTTGTTTGTTAATATATAATAATCATTTTATAATATATGTTATATTACATGTTATATTAACATAATTATTTATCTGATATAACTATATTTTTATATAGTCATTTTATAAATTTTTATAACTTATAAAATTAAATCAATAATTTTTTTAAGAAAATAAATATAATTATATTTATAAAATTTAAAATATAGTTAAGCTTAAAGTAATATTATGTTAAAGAATAATTTAAAAATAATTAAGGGTTGGGGCCTTCCTTAGTTCTAACGTAGAGCCGCCCCTAACAATAGGCACAAATAGCTCTGGGTAGGATATTTCTTGCTTTTTCCTCCATGCATGAACATGATAGTAGAATGTTCCGTGAAAGATTGGTCCATTGTATGCTTGTGTATAAGAGAGAGAAAGAGAGAAGTTGTAGACAAATTGTTATTGCAAAATTTCAAGGGATTAGGATTCCATGCATTCAAATACTTGTTAAAATCTTATTGATATTTTAACAAATCTACACGCCAAAGTCACGTTAAAAATGTATCATTTGGTATGTTGATGGGTTAATAAATAGAACAGAAACTGATCTTAACCATTTTTTTTAGGTGGCCGCGTAATGTTTGGATAACATTTGAAGGGTAAAATTCGACAATGTGTACAATTATTTTAAGTGCAACATGAAGTTATCATTTTCAATTCATGGACCTTTCTTAATCAACTAAATAATGCACCTATAATCGGACCGATACTTATTGCTTTTGTTGTGCATGGTCATGATCATGGTTTTTCAACATTTTTATGACTAGCAAAGCCTAAGTCGTCTTAAGTGATGACCTTGAATAAAATTGGATGAGAATTAATATAAAGTATACATAGTAAATTGAAAATGACATGCTTTCCTGATTTAAATTGTTATGTTGAAGATTCGAAAATGACTTGTTTTTATCAATACGGTAAGGGCATGTTCAGACAAGCTTTTACATCCATCAACTCAAAATTTCTTCTAAAGTGATATCACATCTTTTTGATGCATATGCTGGAAGATAAGTCCTTCTAGTAACGCCCCTCTTTAATTATTGGACTATATAATTCATTAAGTTGGAAAAATAATGTAAATCCAAATAAATTTATAACTCTTGAAACCCCTGCCCTTTTATGTAAGCCATTAACTCATGTTCTGTAATCTTTAGAATAAATGGTGAGGAAATAATACTCTTGAATATAACTTTTAAAATATATTTTTTATTAATAGGTTAAAGTATATAAGTTTCACTAAATAACAAACGAGACTCAAAATGTGAGTGTGGTGGGGTTCTATCCTCACCAATTGGCTCCATCCTAATTTCCCTTCTACTATTCCTTCTCCTTTCTGAGGTCCTATTAGGAGATAATCTAAGGGTCTTACTGAGGGACTCTTCACTCACAAGGGGGGCTTGGCTTTAAAAATAAAAAGCTATCAACAAAAAGATAAGGTGAGATAAGATGCAATATAAGTGACACATTCAATGAATACTTCAGGGTACTTCTTCTGCTTCAGTAATTAACCTATTGTTGAAGATTGGGTTCGATTCTCATGATGAGTTCATGTTTCTAGCAACTTTTAGAATCCATGCAAGTTCCCAATGCAGTTTATACTAGAGCATGAGTCCATGAGAATCAACGTCCACGTGCCTTGTGATCATTACTGAAATCACAGCAACATATAGAAATCGTCCTCCGTATACTTTTAAATTTCTCACAACGTGCTTTCAGCTCTGCTTTTTGGGATCTCTTCTTTTAATCGAAAATTATATAAGTTGCACTTTAAGGATCCGTAACACCTAAAAAATTAAAACTAATGCTATGAAGCCCTTGATTTGAGGACGTTGAGATTGTACTACCCATCACATTGTAATGTTAATGTTACTAAAACATTTTTTTAACGTTAATATTGTATATAAGTTCACTTAACAATAAAAAGAACATGTCAAATATTGTGTTGTTCGCATATTTTTGTATATATATTCCCAATATTGTTATCATTCATTGCTTGTAATTTATAACGATTTTCATTTGAAAATTGTAAGCTGTGAAATAAAAACATTTGAATAATATGGATGGAATAGTATCAACCCGACAATCTTTCAGGAATATAAGCTTTGAAAGATACATGTGACATTAAAAAGCTCTAATTTTATCACGCAGGGTGTCTTTGTTTGCATCACCATCTGCATCAGGTGTGTGAAACATATTCCTATATTAATTATTTATGTTCGTGAGATGAGGTTCGTGAAGCATTTGATTTCCTTATCTTTTGGCAAAATGACTCTTGCGGTTAGAAAAATAATATTTGTAAGCATTATCAATTTATCATGGGAATGCGTTCTCCAAAGAGAATATGATAAAACAGTGACCATATTCTAATTTAATTGAATTTTTGTTGACATTGGAATTGCAGTAGATTGGAGCATTGCATGTGGGATGGATTGGATAAAATGAAAGCATTGGGGTCACAGTTTGTCCAATAGGAGAGGGACTAAATAAACTGCTACACCAAAATTCATACCATTCAGCTCCAAAGAGATGGAGAGAACCCTCTTGGCTTATAGCCTTCGATCCTTTAAATAACACTTTTTTGTTCCTGTAATTTTGAATCTCTTCATTTTAATTAATCAATTTTTTTTGATAATCTTTAATTATTTAAGTTGAATCCCTCACTCAAAATTTTACCTGATAATTTAATAAATATACGATACATATATGAGATATTATTCATCTATATAAATTTGTAAAGAAAAATAAATATAAAACAATTAAATAAAAATATTTTTGTCCTGTTTTATTTTTATTTAAATAATTTATGCACTTTTTGTTAATTTATGTAATTTAATGATACATTGTTATATTTTTTTTAATTATCGGATAAAATTTTGAAATAAAAATTGAGTTTAATTTTAATTCACTGTTAATGTAAAATATAGAACTAAGATTACAGTTAAACTGATATAATTAACGAAATTCCTTCACGAAATAAAATTTTTCAATTTAATGGTGGGAATTGCAATGCAGTATTCTTATTAATATTTTATATTTTTCTATAAATTTATGCATTTGAATAAAAGCATCAGCTACAGAATTTTATTTTATTTTTACTGTCAAACACATCAATTAACCAGTGGAGACTGTTTTACATAGCTAAAAATTCTTATTTTGTATTCATAAGAAAACTTGTATAAAAAATTATGAAACGGTTTTTGTATGTTTTAAGTGAGAAATTTTTCTAAATATCTTTTATTTTAAAATATTTTATGATACATATATTAAAAATAACATTAATTTTTAAAATATTTAAGTCAAAAATGTAAAAAAAAAAATATTCAGGTTGCATATTTTTCCCGTCCCTGCAGTGGTGGATTAAAATGAGGGACATGGACATCATTATTAGTTATCATTTTATCAAGTACAAGTGGAAGATATGGACGGGTCATTTTCATCTCTATGATGAATAACTTTAAAGTTTTCTTATAGTGTATCTTACTTTTTAATTGAAAAAGTAATTTCTTTTTATGAATCATTAAAATATTGTGTAAAATGATTCGTTTGCTTAATGAAGAGGGGTCATACGAGGGTCGTTTGTGTTTGGCGAAGAGAGCAACAAAGTGGAACCTGTCAGATGGGCGTGCATTCCCATTCCATTACATTGCATGCAAACACTGACACAGTGGACACTGAAAAAACGGAGTGAGAAAGCAGAGTGTGGTGAGGGGCCTCAAGATCGTGCCCATCATTTTAACAGAAGCTAGCTACTTTTACTTTACTTAAATCCAAGCTTGAACTGAACTAATAAAGTTCATTATTCAATTATAAAGACATAAATCAATTATTTATTTCTATAAATGATGGACAAGTTGGACCCTTGTTTATTTTGTCAATGCTTTTGTTTTGTAGCTTAAGAGATTAGAATGGGAAAGAAGAGAAGGGTGGTGATGGTGGGGGCGAGGGTGTTCATCCAAAAGCATAGATCAGAGAGAGAGAGAGAGAGAGAAGGAACATTCTGTTGATGGTTGGCCTTTTGTGTTTGTGTAGCTGTGGTGGCTGCCAAAGATGAGGAACACCTCATCTTTTTGAAGGGTTGTTTGCGTGTTATGTGGGGTTGTTCTTTCAGGATATAGTGTTACTCATGCATTGAACTTTGTGTTTCTTGTCGTGGCCACTCCATGTTAGATTCTTCTTACTTGCCAGAGCCAGACACGCATTCAGATTTCAGATCTCTTTGATTAGCTCTCACTCTATTCCTGCCCATTCCACTTTCCTTTCTTCTTATCTGCTTCTTCTTGTATTACTCTCTTTGTCCTCCTATCTGCTTTAGTTTCTCCAATATTTATATTCCCAGAAAGGGAAGAACAATTCAGGGTCTGGTACGTATACTGTGCTTCTGTTCAGATTCATTCCTGTCCCTTCATCATCTTCTTTATCTATTCCCTTTGTTCATTGCAGTTTGCTCCAATATATAAGTGCTCTGAATTTAAAAGAAAATAAAAAAAGTAATTTTTAAAAAATATATATTGCTCCAATAATAATCTGTTCTCTTTGTACTGGGTCTGCTTGATTTTATTTTGTTCATTTTCATTTTTCTTTTGGGTGTATTGTGGATTAAGCAGAACATAAAAAATGTTGAAGATTTCCAATGTCTATGCAGGTTCTCAGAAAAATGTTATTTTTCTTTCCGGCTATAAATATAGTCTTGGAAATTATCTTTCTTTATTTGGATCAGAAACCACTTAATACTTTTCAATTAATGCTTTCCTTCTATTGCTTCGGTGGTTCTTCTCTCAATTCATACGTAGTGTCTTGTGTTGTAGCAGGTGCCTGGCTTTGAAGAGGGACAAAGACACAAAGCTGAAACATAGATAGCAAAGGTTGTTGTTTTGGTCGTGGCAATTGGTTCAGAAACCAGTGAAGGTGCTGCAAGTGGTGTGTAAATAAGTTATTGGTAAAAAAAACAAAGAAGAAAAGGAAGCAAATATCTATATTCAGAAACATAAATTTAAACAAGGTTTGGCGGTGGTCTCAGTTTTGACCAAGTGGGGTTTCTCTGATTCTGTCTTTGAGAAATTATAAATATGTTTGAGATAATCTGTTTCTGTTGGCAATGTCTCCTAACATGACCATTCTTTGCTGGGGTCCTTTGACTATGTTACCATTTTAGTAAGTAACCTGATCTTCGAAACCTCCCATTTCAAGTGAGCAAAAGAGAAACATAAAAAATGTTAATAAACTATCTTGGCACATTTAATGGCCCTCGATTTGAGGAAAATATTCGATCTTAATAGGAAATATACCATATTTCTATTTGATCTTCCTTTCCTCACTCTGGATTTTAGCAAGTTATTAAATCTAAACTTTGGGTCGGTGGTTTGCCTTTCAGAGTTGGAGACTGTGAGATAGGTGTTTGCAGCTGTAGTAGAAGTGTAGAACCTAAGATTTGTATCAGATAGAGAAAAGGAGCAACATAGTTATTTCCTTAGGCCAAGATGAAGTTCATGAAACTTGGATCTAAGCCAGATTCGTTTCAGAATGATGGTGATAATATCAGGTATGAGATCAGTCTCCTCCACTACTCAGAACCTCACTTCACTTATATATATATATATATATATATGCGAGTTTGTTTCATTTTGTTCTTTTTAGCTCTTGCTCCGGAATATGTATTTTGGGCTTCCCGGAATTTGTTACTTATTAATTTGGTTCCTGGTAATATTTCATTATTTTTGTGTGTTTTTCTCACTACTATGAACAATCAAGTCAATAGGGAATTAAATCACTGCAAGTTTCATGATTTTTGTGTTGTTGGACTTCTCATTTTTTATATACACACTAAAATAGCCAGTTTTGACGGTTTCTTCTAGAGAAAAGCTTGGGCTATGATTTTATCCTGTTAGTAATTCTCAAAATCAGAAACTACCATTTCCTCGCATGAAGATTTTGACATCTAAATTTATGAGGTGTTTGATCTCTGCTTTGCAATTCATGCATATACATCATTCTATTAGATTGTGATTCATTAGCTTAATTAAATTGAAGATAGATATTGAACTCCTCTATCTGCCTTTTTTTTTCCTCTGTGTTTTATATCACTGGAGGATACGCTGCCATCTCTACAATAATTTTCAAAACCTTTTTAAAACTCATGGGAATAATTTTTTTCTCTGGCTAGACAGATTTATCTTTCAGTCAATAGTGTTGGACTATTATGCAGTTCTGGTCAGATGCGGAGTGTTTAGGTTTCAAAATAAAAATCTAATAATCGAGATGTATCATTTTCTAATGAATTCTTGTGTGAAAATATTTTGGAATGATATTAATTATTAATTTAAGAGTTCAATTCATTGCTTCCTTTGTCGTTTAATTGAGAGGCTATACTATATAGTGTTCCTGTCACTTTCTTTCCCATTTTAAAAAAAGAAGTTTTTCTTGAGCATATTCTGATATCAATAAAGGAACAAATCTATATATTCCTAGATAAATAATAATGATAATAATAATAATAATAATAATAGACATGTATAGATTACTATGCAGTTTACCATTTGCATGCTAATTTGACATGGCTGTTCTAGTTAACAGAGTAAATAATAGAAATATGATTAACATAAGCCTGTAAGCTTTTTTGTTGCATAAATGATTTTACACGCATGTGTGTGCGTGTTTAGATATGACCTTGATCTGCATGGTGCACAGAGCCACAGACTCTGTGTGCATGCGTGTGTTTGTGAAGGAACATTCTGATGATGGTTGGCTTTTTGTGTTTGTATAGATTCAGTGACAGCCACTGTAACTTGTAAGAGTTTATAGGAATTTCATTTCTATGTGTATAATAAATCTTGAGAGTTTATAGGAGCTTTTTTCTACAGTGTTATTTGTGGAGCAAACCACTAAAGTCTGAGTACTTTCAACTCCAATAGATAAATCTTATATCTTTTATTGAAATTTCCAACTGGAAGCTTATCTAGAATGACATCAAATTTTCCACCTTTGTAATATTTTCTTTTGGTACATTTTTGTAAACATAATGTATTATATACTCTTTTTACCTATCGCATTCTTACTCTATGTAGGCATTGATATATAGGACGTGCTTGTGTTACCAACTCACTTTTCTATTACTTTTTTACTATATTTGGATAACTACTCTACGCTTTCACCATATTTAATGGACAACAGTAAATCCTTCAGTATTACCAACATGTGCTTTAAGCATTTAGAGAAAATAGACATAATGATCCTTCCGTTGGTAGTTTATATGCACATGCCCGAGGATCTTACATTGAATAATTTGCATGTCACATTTTTATTGTGTTATGTTCAGTAATTTTTTCTTCTTTCTTTGTCTATTCTCCTTGATTTGTTTTGTTCGTTTAAAACTAACATGTGCCAGCATATTTTTGTCAGGTATGTGGCAACTGAATTGGCAACTGACATAGTTATTCACGTTGAAAATGTAAAATTTTATCTCCATAAGGTAAGATTCAATCTGACATTGAGGTGATATTGCAATATGATATATAACTCGTGTATGTCGACTGCTAATTTTTCATGTTAATTAGGGCATCTCTCGATCCCTTTTTTGGAAAGCCTGTAATTCAATTCCTCCTATTAGAGTTCTCAGTTCTGATTATAGAGGTGAAGGATAACCATCTTCATATATTCAGTGAATACTTATTAAAAGGGAGAATATGGAGTCAAATGCTGTTGTAAATTAGTCTAATCCGTTCTTTCCTCTTCAACACCATGGAAATTTTGATTCTTGATGTATTATGAAGACAAGTTCAAGTAGAGCCAGCTTATGTATGTCAGTATGTGATTTCTATTACATGATACATCCATGTTTGCAAGTTTGTTATTGCTTTTTTCTTTCTTGAGAATCTTTTTGTTCAAAAGCTTCGTGAAGTTGGCAAAGGGCAACAAAACAAAGTGGTTATTTCCTCAAAATAATCTATTGCAAACCCACGAATCTTATTATGGACTTCATAGTCTTTTCTACCGCTAATCATGACCCTAAGCTGCTCTATATATGCAGTTTCCTCTCTTGTCAAAAAGTGCCCGCTTCCAAAAGTTGCTTACAAACACAAATGAGGAGAATAATGATGAAGTCCATATCCATGACATTCCTGGTGGACCTGCTGCTTTTGAAATATGTGTCAAGTTCTGTTATGGTATGACAGTCACTCTTAATGCTTACAACGTTGTTGCAGCTCGCTGTGCAGGAGAATATCTTGAGATGTATGAAACTTTTGAGAAAGGAAATCTTATCTACAAGATTGAAGTCTTCCTCAACTCCAGCATTTTTAGGAGTTGGAAAGACTCTATCATTGTTCTTCAAACTACCAAATCTCTTCTTCCATGGTCTGAGGAACTTAAGGTAGTGAGCCATGGCATTGACTCCATAGCCACCAAGGCTTCAATTGATACATCAAAGGTGGAGTGGTCATACACCTATAACAGGAAAAAGCTACCATCTGAAAATGGTAATGATCCTCACTTCAACAATGTGAGGAAACAACAATTGGTTCCAAATGACTGGTGGGTGGAGGATCTTTGTGATCTCCAACTTGATCTCTATGAACGGGTCATAACCACAATTATAACTAAAGGCTATGTTTCTGGTGCTGTAATTGGAGAAGCTCTAAATGCTTATGCCTCAAGAAGGATGCCTGGTTTCAACAAGGGTGTGATCCAAGGAGAAGATATTGTAAAGAGTAGATTATTTTTGGAGACCATAGTCCATCTATTACCCACAGACACAGGCAGCGTCTCTTTCAGTTTCTTGGTGAGGTTATTAAGGGTAGCTATTCTGTCAGAATGTGAAGAGTTGGAGAGATCTGAACTGATGAGGAGAATAGGTCAGTGCCTTGATGAAGCTAAGGTGTCTGATTTATTGATTCGTGCCCCAGCTGGTGAGGCAATTTTTGATGTTGACATTGTGCAAAGGCTAGTTGAAGAGTTTGTTGCCCGTGATCAGGATGTTCAGCCTGATTCTCTGTTGGAAGATGAATTGCAAGAGATAAGAAGTCCTAGGATGGGATCAGATGCTTCTAAGGTTAAGGTGGCAAAACTGGTGGATGGCTATCTTGCTGAGATTGCACGGGATCCCCATTTGCCTCTTTCAAAGTTTGTTAATCTAGCTGAATTGGTTTCAAGCTTTCCAAGAGCATCTCATGATGGCCTATATCGTGCCATTGACATGTATTTAAAGGTAAATTCCTTGTACCTAGTTTCTTGTCAGATCTAAAAATGATATACATCATGGGAAGTACCAGCTGCTCAAATTTCAAACATTTGCTAGTAATAATAATAAATGTAAAGCTGGGGATGTACCAAAATAATAATAATAATAATAATAAATGTATACCTGGGCTTCCAAAATTGGAGAGAGCATGCTGGAAACTCAATTAGTGCATTTCTACATTTAGAGATGTTATCTACCTCGTGTTACCTCCTCAGTAGATATTCCAATAGGCTAATAATAATGAACTCTTAACTGACACTATCTGTTACATACTCATCTCTAAATTTATACGGCGATTTAGTGTGATGAGTTTTCATATAGTCCTGATATAATATACCATATCTTTAAAGCCACCAAATTGGTTATGTCAATATAAACAAATGAAGTGATCTCATTGGTATTAACCACATTTCCAACGCTGACACATATGTCACGCAGGAACATCCTGGAATCAGCAAGAGTGAGAAGAAAAGAATATGCAGGTTGATGAACTGCAGGAAGTTGTCTACAGAGGCTTGTATGCATGCTATACAGAATGAGCGGCTTCCAATGCGTGTCATTGTGCAGGTTCTCTTCTTTGAGCAGCTGAGAGCCACAACACCTTCAGGAGGCAACGCCACACCAGACCATCCTGGCTCCATCAATGCCTTTCTTGGTGGATCACATGGGAGTTCACGGTCTACTGCAACCAACACTGAAGAGGAATGGGATGCTAGGGGAACAATGGAGGACATAAAATCTCTGAAAGGGGAACTTGATACAATAAAATTATCAGGTGGAGGCAGTGGTGCTAGCAGCCGAAACAGCATTGAAAGTGGTAAAGGCAATGCTGAGAAAGTTGCTGCTAGTAAAATGAAAGGTGTTATGCCAAAGAAGATAATCTCTAAGATTTGGTCAAGCAAAGAAAGAAGTGGTGAGCTAACTAGCTCTGATACATCAGAGAGCCCTGCTTCTACTGTTGTAGAGGAAACAAAATCTACCCCTTCTAGAAGTAGGAGGCATTCAGTATCGTAGACCATGTTCTGCAGACATCTGAGCCCCATTCAGTTATTGTATAATCATCTCACTCAAATAGAGCATTAGGAGTTAGAGGATACTGACATCTTCCACCTGATACTTCAATCAGTTCAATGTAATAGAGCAAATGTTGGCATGTGGCTAAAATGAAGCACCAAAAGTATGTGTTAATTGTGGCTTATATCATACCCCTATAGCAACGCAACATCCTGTCAATCATTACTGATCTTAGGTTAGAGGTGAGCATTAGTAGTGAGTGGCCCAGTTTTTTATTATTGGAGACTGGTTTGTTACTGCCAAATTTGTAAGCTTAGTATTAAAGGGAAAAGGAGGATAAACCAGAATCAATCAGATATGGCTGGTGTTGGGAGTATTACTAAGCTTAGATCCGTCATTAATGTTTCTTTTGATCATTAATATGGGCTGCAAAACCTATTGGACTTTGAATTTAAGGTGCAACAGGTTATCATACATTATTAAAATATATAGGGGACATTACGTAAGGAGAATTGAAATTTCCAAATATATCTTAAGATTAGATACCTTATATGAGAGATTGAGAGATCAGAACATTCAAAATCTTCAATTTAGGTACCATAGCTGAAACTCATTTTACCATTTTCATGAATGACTGTATGCATGATGCTTGTGCCCAGTATCAAGGTTCAACTACAAACTTTTTATTGCCTTTTTTCTTAGCACCCTTCATTTTTAAAAAGAATCTGATGGACGTTAAATTTTAAGCGAATCGTCCACGCTAAAATTTTAATGTCACGCTTCTCTGTATGTACTATGTGGCAAAGGGGGAATTGCACTGAAAAACACTGTAGGAAAAGCTAGCTTCAAAATAGTGAGGAATACTTTCACTATTCCAGCACTATACTACTACTGTTGTTGTGATTATTATTATTATCCCGTACCACAAGAAGGAAAACACGAGACATGAGGGCCCTAAAAGGTCGAAACACGAAAACATGCGTAAGCAAAAACTAAAGTAACAACAGTTAAAAGGTATATGAAGGGAAGAATTCCACGTGGTTGTGGAAATTCAACAGTAATGAAGGTTTGAGCCAAGTAGCCAAAAATAAAAAGCACTAGAAAGGTATAAATGGACTTTAGTACTCAAACAAGGTCACAAGCAAAGGTACGAGAAACACGATAAGACCGAAAAAAAGAAAGAAACGTACACCTAGGGAGCTACATGGGCTTGTAATGCTAATGCAACACAAGGTTTTGCACTTTCCCTAGTGGATAATGCTGAACCTTTTCTCCCCATTATTAAGGGAGTTAGGGAAACACCCCACATGCAAAATTTGAGACCTAATAGGTTAGCCTTTTTATTTACCTTTCTTAAGTCGGCCAAACCATCTGAGCCCATATAATTTAATAGCCTTTTTTTATTTTCCTTTTTTATAAAATAATAAGGTGACAACCTTTCAGTGTGCTCTAGTTTACCTCGAGTGATCCCACTTTGCTATTTTTTCATTGTGCCTGAAACTCGAAAGTATGCAGTGAATTGACCTTGACCCATTGTTAATGCTAGACTAAATTGTCCCAGCACTCACCTAGCAGTTTAATAGTGATAGCAAGTGCGTGATTGAAACATGTAAAACAATTTAGTCAATTTAGAAGGCTTTTTCCTCATTGCTTCTTCCCCTTTGATTATTATGTCTAACAACAATGATTTGCATCCCCATTCAAAACAGGTGGAGCACTTAAAGATAATATTAATTAGAAGTACATGATTGTCACATTAACTTCCCCGCATCTATGGCCACATTAGTCTAATCCCACCTTCATATAGCTAGAGAAAGGAGATGTTTGTCCTCCAAAAGTGTGCTAACTGATATATGATCCCACTTATTAACTGTGAACGTAAGAAATAACTAAAGAAAAACAAAATTAATGCCAGCCAAATTTGACTTTAATTTGCCATTTTTCATTGTCCTTTAAACAAACCACTCAATTGGACTTGTCTTGGTCCAAAAATGAAGAAAAATACTCACGGAAAGCACTCAGCAATTAGCCTTACTTTTCTTTGAAAAATGACAATAATTATTATAATCACTGTTTTTTTTTTTTGGCGTGTATGTAAAAGATATTTTAACCGACACTCAAATTATCTTTTCAAAGGTAGAAATTATCTGAGTAAAATATTATTTATTTTTTCAACAAATGCCTTTTATTATATAATCAAAATTTAAATCTTAATCAACATCCTTAAGACACTTAAATATTTATTAACTTTGTCAAACTTTGTTGATGCTATTCAATCTTTTTGTTTCCTTTATTTCAAGATTATTAGGATATGTTATTTTGAGAAATGTTTTTTATATTTGCTTTTAATTATAAACTTGTAACATTATTTATTTTAAAAATTATGCATAAAACAGTTTAAAAAATTACAAATTCTTATACAAATCTTTAAAAAAAATGTAACATATTTATAAAAAATAAAAAATATTTTCCCAAATCAAACACTCAGTTAAATTAGCTATCATTTTCCTTCTTCAAGTTTGTCTTTGTCTCTTCTCTGTGCTATTTGTGGCCTGTCTTTTAAACTTGAAAATGCAAACTGAGAGAGAATTTGCACGTCTAAACAACGTTTAGTTAAATACACTAAGCAATACTGAACATGCGCGAAACTTGCATGACATTTCGTACCTATCAAATTTCCTGCATAATCCCAATTACACAGTTTTGGTGATTTAATTATTTAATAAAGAATAACCAAGTTTTTTCTTGTCGTATCTGCCAAATGAGAAAACACTAACACTAGTGCAATTGCATTGATAAGTCAGCTAACCCATTACAGTTCACTTTTCCTTAACAAGACGTGGAGAAATAAGAGTCACTTGTGCATTATTTCCTTTAAGATCGTATCACTAGCAAAATGCCCATTTGGAATGAAAGCTGCTAATAAATTTCCTCGAAGTGTGAACTCAACAGTTGAAAGATGTTGTGAAGTTTCAATGCGATGAGATTCCTTCGAGACACTTTTATAGTCAAAGTATTTGGTGTTTGTTTTAATAGGTGGAAGTCACATTTTGTTGAATCATTTTTATATAATGTTTTTAGAAATTTGGAAGGAATGCAAAATTCAAAATTTTCAAATCTTAACATAACGCACGTCTTCATCTATATATAACAAATATTTAGCATATCTTTATTTCATCTATCTTTCATTTATCATATAAAGTACCAAAATGACACATACGCCAAGACAAAATAAACTGGGTGATTATATTATCAAATTCAATAAGATAAATTTTACTTTTTCTAGTAAAGTACTTTTAATTAACTATACATATAAAAATAGTTAAAGTTAATTAATTTTTTATTTAAAAACAATTATCTTCATTTAATATTGTTAAATCTAATCCATTATTAATATTTACTCTTCTTTTTTTTAATTTAAGCTTTTACCAACTCAATTTATTAAAGATAAATAAAAAAACATATACATAAATATTTATATAAAAAATACCTAATAAAAAAAACTCTAAAGTATTTTTAAAAAAAGCCTATAAAAAGGATCTGAAACAAAAATATAATTTAATAGTAAAATAACAAAAGTGAGTTGAAACTATATAACTAGAATTAAGTGATTTTTGTGATAAAAATGTATCCCACAGTTTATGGAGTAAATTATATTAACATTCTTGAAGGTTTGCCTAGATCGTACTTACCTTTAACTCTTATCTGAAATTGACCTAAAATTTACATTGTGTTTAAAAATTCCAAAACAAGTGTACTTCTCTTTCGAGGCAAAAAAGTCTTTGTGTTTTTAATCAACAATTACTTTGCTATTTCTTTAATCGAATTTCCCCGGAGGTGAGTGTGAATTAAACAAATTGTACTAAAAGTTTCATGTAATCCAACTTAGCACGATCAATGACAGTTTCACTATACCTTAATTGAGTAAGTTAAGCTTATAAAATCACCTTTTATTTGGCCTAAATTCTTTTCTAGTTTATATAAATATCTGTTATAAAATTGGTAAAATTCGAAAACCATAAATTTAGGATTAGACTAAAATAAAATTTAAATGTCAAACAAATAGCCATAGTTGAAAATAGAATCCAATTTATGTAACTTTAAAAAACCTTGATTCATTAAAATAATCATTATATAAACAGTTTGAAATTTGTCAAATAGATTGGTCAAAGGCACAAGTTTTTCCATAGTTGTATTTGATAACTAATGAAATTAAAAATAAATTATATTTAGTAAGCTACAATTATCCATAAAATACTCATAATATAAGTAAAAAAATTTATCCATAAAATAAATTTATGGTCTAAATATAAGTAATTATTATATATGAATTCAGTTGTAAATCACATTATTTATTCTTATATAACATATTTATTATGGGCTAATTTTAGATTAGTTAATTTACAAGATTTTTTCAATTAAAAATCTTTTTGTTGTTAGACAAAAAAATGATATTAGGGAAACTTTTCTAAGAAAAAAATGTTGATTTCTATTAAGTTTATAGGTGCTCATGTCTGACAAGGTTAAAAAAAAATTTCAGAAGCATAAATTAATTTTTTTTTAGTTTTTATTTGAATTTAATTTACTTTATTTTGATTCATTTCATTTTCTACAAGTCTTTATCAATAAATTTATTCAAACTAATTCATATATTATAATTAAGAAATGATCATAAATATTTTTAAAATATTGATTAAAAATAGAATGTATAAAAATATTATCAACGAACTTTTTTTATCTATGTTTCATCTCCCAAGGCACTTCTAAGGTATAATTGCAGCTAGCTTCCTTACCCAATCAAAAATATGGATGTGAAAACACAGAAACATGTAACAAAATATTAGCCAACATATTTCCCAGCTGAAGATCCACCAATGCATGTTTTGCAATGTAATATGTATTATTTTATCTTATTAGACAATTTAGCATTTCTTATTTACTAAATTTTGGATAAAAAAAATCAAACTCAAATTATATTTTTTTCAGTTGATGGTTAAAAAATAATTGTTATCATGAAACAAAAACTATGTCATACATACAAAATTAATTGCAAGCTTAAGTTATATTATATAGTTTATACTTTCAATTAATAATTATTATATATCTGGGCAATCGCAAAATAATAAGGATACCTTTAGTTTATTTATTTAAAAAATGCAAGTTCTGAATGCATAAAACATTATCATCTCAGTTAATTGTGTTTTGAAAAGTTATTTTTATATCTTAAAATAATTCATTTAGAATAATTATCACCCTTTTCATGTGTATAACCTTTTTTGTGTGGATAACACGTTTTAAAATACACTCGCTTCAGTAACTAAAAAACAAATGCAGCTCCCGATTATTTAGTACCCCAAAATAAAATCAGCTTTCCTCGTATTATTGAACTTTGGCTTGTTTTCTTTATGTCGCTATCCCAAAATGTGCATTCACTAAAGTCCCAAATTACAACCACAAAAGGAAACAGAATCAAATTGAGAGAGAGAGTTATCATTATAAAGGTCAACTTAGAGAAACCAACACATTATCTCACTAGTACTTCTATTTTTTTTATTTTTAAACAGTGGCACCCTTTGTATTTAAACTTACATAAATTAAGCATCAATCAACCAAAAAAATTAGTAAATTAAAATAAATTATCAAATATCTTGAGAATTGCTCTTATTCAATTAGTGTAGTCACCACTTTGGGAAAAGAAACAGTAAAGATCATGTATGGTTGAAGAGAGCAGAACAAAATAGAATTCGGTGCGATTGAATGATAAATTATCTTTATTTTGAACAATGAGAAGTATATAATTTTAAAAAAATTATTGAACATCTACTCCTTTCAATTAAAATAAAGTTAGGTTCGAAACTAGTTCAACTCATTTTCTTTTGTTAATTTTATGACATTAATTTCAATTCTTAAAATTTAGGATAGGAAATAAAAAATAATTGTTATTAAAAATATATTATATAAAAATATATAAATTTAATTAATTTTTTTAACATATGTAACATTACATGTGATAAAAATTATATCATAATTTTTTAATAAAAATTGCAAAATTTAATGTAATTAAATGTATTAACAATACTAAATGTTAAAATTTGCAATATAAATTTATTATATACATGTTTTTATGATGTGCAATATTGTACAAGTTAGAAAATTAAAATTTCATAAATATTTTTATGATAAATTTTATTATATTTAAATATGTAAAATTAATCTAAAGATAAAATTAACAAAATCATAATTTTATAACCAATAAGTCCTTTTTTTATCTTTATGTCAAGTAATATATAATATTTTATAAGAAATAATAATGATATTTTCATACTTGTTTTATTTTATATAACTAATATTCACACATATTATTTTTATTAATTTTTTAACATGTGTAATATTACACATCATAAAAAGTTATATAAAATAAATTTTTATTAATAATTATAAAATTCAATATAATGATATTATTAAATGTTACAACTTTTAATAAAAAAATAATTTATTAATTTTTTATTGTATGTAATATTGTATAGGTTAAAAAATATTTTTTATATCTATTTATCACATCATTTATTACAATCCTTTTTTTTATATTTATATTTCTCTTACATTTATTTTGCATAAAAATGTGTGAAAATGTATTTATTATACAATAAATATCAAGAATATAAAACAAAAAAAATTAATTGAAACATTGATAGTATAAAAAGTTCTATAGCATTGTCTAATTATCAATTATTAGATTGTTAAAAATCATTAACTTTGACAGTAATTGTTTTAAAAATATACTTAATAAAATAAAACTCAAACAATGTACGGTGAAACGAATATTCTTCCTTTATAATGTTTTTCAACCAGTAAAAAGGGTGGATGTGCTAAAATTGCTGCTTGCCCTTGCCCCCAAACTCAGACAATGCGCGTCTTCAGATTTTGGTTGAAAAACCTTTATAGCATGATTTAGAAACTGATATTTAAACTATGATTTGAAGATTCTAAGCAAAATTAAAATATTAGCGGTATTTTAACTAGTTAATCAAATAGTGGGTGGTCTCTGAGTTGAATGTGTTTTTATTGCAAGTCCAATCCAAATTGTCATATAATAAAATTGAAGCATCCCAATTCATTTGCATAAACGTCGAGAAGAAAAGTTTGGGGGAAGTTACAGTCAAATTCCTTTAGTATTCTCCCAGCCATGGAAAAATAAAAAAGCCCTCGAACATTCATGCGTACACGGAAGACAGCCTATGTCCCATGATGAATCTATATGTCCAAGTAATGTCTTTTTATCCCATGGATGAATTAAGAGTGCATCAAAAAGGCTAATTGCCTATATTAGGAGACTTACATTCACACTTAATGGGCACCATTTGATTCCCACTACCCTCAATAAGAAAGATACTAGGAACCCGATAAAGGCTATGATAAGGTCCCCCACCTGCGGGCATATTATCAAGGACATAAAAATGTAGTCTAACAAAGGTTCTTTAAGAAAAGCTTCTGGACATGCACAATCTCAAATGGATATTCGGATTCACCTATGAACCCACACAACAATATTTTCCTCTTGCATGCTCTTCAATATTGCAAGTCTAAATCCAATTCCATACCAAAATAACACCAGAAATTGAACTCGGCTCCTTTAGAAAGCCACTTTCATTTTGCCATTTATACAATTAAGAAAGAGGGGGATATAGATATACTTTCTTTTACAATAAAAAATTCACATTTCCCTCATTGCTTGTATAAACTAATTAGAAGTTTTATTCTAATTTTTAGTTCAAGTTAAAATTAACAGTTAGAACTCTCTAGGATCAACAAAAACAGAGAATCCAGGAGGAGATTTTGTCCAATCACCAACGGAACCATCGCTGTAATCTTCTCCAAGTCTCTTAATGCACCACAAATCCTCTTCACAAGAAAGCATCTTCCAGTGTGGAATCCCGAACCGAAGCGGCTCGTGGCTGGAAACTTCTGTAGCCACCACTTTGCAACCACCATCTTTGGCGAGGTTATGTGCGAATCCACATAAAACTCTCACCATCTTCACCCCCTCGGGGCCCTCACCTCCCAGCCCATACAGGAAGTGAAACCCAAACGGCTGAAAGAAATTGGGGATAGAAGGCAAGCCGAGCCAGGGCATGGCTCGGTCCAACATGCGGGTGGTTTTGGCAAGGGTCCGCTTCACGCGCGACGCGCCCCTCACCTGGAGCGTGAACACATCCTTGCAGTTCCACACACTGAGTACGGCCCAGGAGTGAGGTGGGTCCGACAGAAAGCGGTCTGAACCGGGCCACGTGTCGGTTGAGTAGGAGCCGCGCGGAACGGCTAGGAAGGTGCCGAGGCTGAGTTTGTTGTTGAGGACTGAGTCGACGTCGCGCGGGAAGAACTCAGTTGTGGCGAATCGGTTACGGTAGAGCAATTCGGCGTCGTTTGGGGTGAGTCGGATGATGGTGACTTTGGAAGAGGTCTTTACTCGGTGAGCGAAAACGGGGTTGACGAGGATAGAGGGGGTACGGAACTTAGAGTAGCCGCATTTGTCGGTGAATAGCTTAACGGATGCTACGTTGTCCTTTTCCGTTGCCATGTAAGCATACTCGGCTCCATTGTCCCTGAACCATTTCTCCATCCTCTGGACCAGTTTCAACCCTATTCCCATTCTCCTGCACGAGCACACAGGGAATTAAAAACCAAGGCACACTTAGGACATAAGCAGTAGAATGAAGTGGTTAATTAAGAATTAGAAATACCTGTGATGGGGAGAAACGCGGAGGCCTAATATGTAGGCGAGTTTGGTGTATATGGGGAGTTGTTTGGAAGTGGGTTGGGTGTTGGTTTTTCCATGCCTGTGGAGCTTCTTTCCGCACGTAACGGTTTTTATGCAACCCCTTATCATTCCCACTGTGTCTTCACCTATCTCCGCCACCTGATGCAGACAAATTAAGGGCGAAACATGATTGCTTTGTTTTGTTTAATTTATGTGAGAAGAGTTAAAAAGTTGGTGAGAAAGACTGTTGTGTTACTGTGTGGAATAGTTTGAAGAGTGAAGAAGACTCACTCACTCACAGTCACTGGTGATGGATGATAGAATAGAAAATAAAAAAGAAAAAGACATTGATTATTAGATGGGAATATAATAGAATACCAGCATGAGGAAAGTAGGTGAGTTGCGGACCCTGCAAATTGGGTCACCGTGGAGGTCGGTGAAGAGGGAAAGCTTTCCACTGGGTCCAACCTCACATATTCTTTCAACAGCTTCCACTCTTTCTCTGTCTTTATTTGGGTCGAATTCTCTCACAGTCACAACCACCATAATGCCCAATTCTTCTCCCATATCAGCCAAGGAAAAAGGGAGATGGATGGATGGATGGTGTGAAGGTGGGCTGGCTTTATATAGAGGGGACCGGGTTAAAGGTTATGATATGAGAGTGAGTAAAATTGCAGCTTTTTCGAGACTCATTAACGTGGCCTATATATGACTATGTAACCTAAGCTTGGGAGGCTTCGACAAAAGCAGAGGCTGAGTGTTACATAACTAGTAACGCGATCACTGTCTCGCACCAATTAGGAAAATTAAATATAAAAGAAAAGGGTGTGATTGTTAACAAGATAGAGCCAACGATTTCATCGTCTCATCTTCGCTTGTGGTACAAATCCTAATCATCTAATGGGCCTTTAAATACCTGATCTTTTCAGCTTTTCTATTTGCTGTTTTATTTTTTCTTTTTAATTACACACTCTCTCTCTTCAGAATCCTCACCACTTCCTGTATTTAATTCCTGGGGTTTAATTTTAAATAATTTAAGAATATGTCTCTATCTGTTCGCCCTTTCCTTTATTTGGGTTTCTCTCTCTACCCCTGATTCTTTCTTGGCTAAAGTTTCCTAATAATGAAGGAAATAAATGAATTTAACAAAAGTAATAATGAGCAGAAAAAGTGAGGGAAGAGAGAAAGGAAAGAGGAAATGGCGGCTATGGCTGCGCAGTCCTGTGGAGGTGTTTTGTTTTCCCCTTAAATTGGTTTTAATCGTTTATTTTATTTTTAAATGGAAATAAAGGCTTCCCATCTCTCCCCATTCATAACCATTACCTTTTACACTCTCTCCCCCTCCCTCCCTTCTCCGGTCCCATGATGTACATCCACTGTTATCATGTGGGATGGGATGCACATGCATATTTCATGTGGCAAAGGGATATCATATTATCCATCCCCCCCATTTTCCATTTCATTCAAATTCAACAGTAACAGGCTTTTACATCTTCACTGTCCAGTTAAGATCTTACAAATAAAATATTAGTTATAATAATATCTTATTTTAATTATTTAATTATAATCAAAGACAGCTGTGATTATTCTCTTAACCGTAACTGTAATTGCATGCAAAGAATACACCTCAGCATAATTATGAGCATACGGTCCATGTTTCTGAGCAATTGTTGGATATCCATAATACTGTAAACTCAAACAACAATGGATGAGTCTTATCTGTCATTGTAATACCAGTGCTACAAAAATGGCAGAGTGGTGAAACCGCTGCGTTACCTTTTCAGCTCTCAGTCCTCACTGCAACTTTCGTTACTCAGTGCTGTCACCACTGACTGGGGAGTTTTGGGTGAAATAAAAAATATTTATTATTTTATTTCACAATTTAATAATACTTTTATTTACATTACTTATTCTATTTTATATTTTTTCCTTTTTATTATAGAATTTTTGTAAATACACTAAACGAGAATCACACCACTCATTAACAATTTAAGTCTTTTTATATTAATAAATAATGTAATATTATTGCATTTAAAAATTATTATAGTAGATTAAGTTTAACTTAATAATGATAGTTTCTGTTAAAAATTTATTTACTAGATTTTTATATTTTTATATTTTTATATAATAAATACTTTTTTAGTAAAATTTTATTATATTTCATGCTTAAATTTAATAAAATTGTAAATTTATCATAATTTTGTTAGATTTATTAAACTTAGCTTTTAAAATTAAATTTAAGCATTAACAAATAGTAAATTTTATTTATAAATATATTTTATGCTAAATTATAAAAATATGATATTTATATTTTTAAATTTAAATGGTTGAAGTTAACATTTTTTGTAATTTTCATATTTTCAAAGTTAGTATGAAATTTTTTACCTAATTACTATTTTATACACCTTACTTAATATTAGTTAAAACCTCTATCCTTTTACTTTAATTTTTGTCTTTATTAATGATATAGAATATTATTTATAAAAAATATAAGATAATAAACTATAATTTCCTTCAGTTCACAACATTTGTCGAGTATAATGATCATTAATATCATGCTAAACATCCACTGGTAAGTTGTAACTGACTGCTCAGTGTCGTCAATCATGTGCAGCCAAGATTTTATGCATATTTTAAATTTGTTTAATATTATAGAAGATTAAAAATTATATATAATAAATATTTATGCAAAATAAAAAATAAATTTAATTTAATGGACTAATATAATTAAAATTTATATTTTTTAATAAAATATTAGTATATAAAATTTAATATTACACAAATTAAAAGAATTATTTGATAAAAAACGTGAGTTAAGAAAAAAAAAAACAGAGATATTTTTCTACACAGGCAGCAACCCTACTGATTTCCATGGTTATCCTAAACTTGTACTAGACACAGCTAGTACTGGTACGAGATAGGTCCATGCCACACATTCAATTAAAATAATATATTTTATGCAATTTTAAAGTGTACGTAACCACATATTTATTGTTTGAGTTATGATAAATAATTAAAAAAAGAGAAGTATAATGCATGATTCGGTAGAATGAATAAATAAATAAAAGTATAGTATTATTTATTATTTTAATAACAGTTTTTATATGAATTTAAGACTATATAATAAAATAATAATAAATAATATTTTTAATAACAATTATAGTAGTGTTTATTATTATGAATGCATTAAATTTTATAATTTAAAATATGTCATATAAATATTCTTATTTATATATCATTAAATATATATTAAAGAACATTTAAACAAACCTATAGTGGCCTTTTTCTTATTTTAACGAAAAAATAATATTAAAGTATACATGAGTAAAATACTAAATGAAATCAATGAAAATTATATGATAAATAAATGACATATATAAAGCAATGATAATAATAATAATAATAATAATAATAATAATACAACTTACAGCAACAAATAGTAATTTATTTAAAATAAAATAAAAAAATAAGATAAATTAATATATTACTATCAAAATAATAAATACTATAATTTTTTTTAATTATATTATATAAAATATTTTTAAAAATAATTAAAAAATAGAATATATTGTGGGCATTAAATTTTGTAATAATTACCTTATTTATTTTTTAGAGTAGTAAATTTTTTTTAATAAATTTTAACATACAGTTTAATAAATTTATTATATTAATAAATATGCTCTTACATTTATGTTTTTTATTCAACTATCTTACTTTAAAATAAAAAAAATAAATATAGTTATTTCATATAGTTTTATTTCAATAATTTTAATTATAAATATTTGGAATTAATGTTTTTAATTTATAATTATTATTACAAGATTTAATAATAAATAAAATATTGTAACAAAATTATCAAATATAAATGATTATTATAATTTCATTTTAAATTTAAATTTAAATTTATAATTATAATATTAAATTTTAAATAAAATATTGTCTATATTAATAAATTATATATAATTATGATATATCAATTATTATTAATTAAATTATTATTAAAAAATATTAAAATGACAGAGAAAGAGAAAAACAAAATAATTAAAAATCAGGTAAATTTTAAATGAAAATATTTTTTAATATTTTCTTGTGTGTATAATTGTTCTAATTTTAAACATATTTAAATTTTAAGTTTATTTTAAATATCAAATATATAAAATTAATTAATAAAAAAATATATTAAAATTATTACTATTCAAATTTGAATAGTATCTAGAAGAAACGAAAAAAAAACCAAATAAATTTAAATTTAATGAAAGAAGTGCATCATCACTCAATTGATTGTTTATTAAAGAAAATATTAAAACTCATTTTTTTAATAAATGCATATAGTATTGAGTAGGTAAAATTAATTTATAAATGCACATACATAGATATGTAGTGAAAAATAATTAAAAAAATTATCATATATTTGTGGGCATTAAATATCGTAAAAATTACCTTATTTATTTTGTAGAGTAGTAAATTTTTTAATAAAATTTAACATAAAGTCTTACATTTAATAAGTTTAATAAATTTATTATATTAATAAATATGTTTCGTACATTTATGTTTTTTATTCAATTATTTTACTTGAAAATAAAAAATAGTTATTTATACAGTTGTATTTAAATAATTTTAATTATAAATATTTTGAATTAATTTTTTTAATTTATATTTATTAGTATAAAATTTAATAATAAATAATATATTGTAACAAAATTATCAAATATAAATTATTAATAATAATTTTATTTTAAATTTTAACTTTAAATTTATAATTATAATATTTTAAAGAAAATGTTGTTTGTATTAATAGATTATATATAATTATGATATATTAATTAAATTATTATTAAAAAATACTAAAATGGCAGATAAAAAGAAAAATAAAATAATTAAAAATCATGTGAAATTTAAATGAAAATAATTTTTAATATTTTTTAAGTGTGTGTAATATTTTTTTAATTTTAAATATATTTAATTTTTAATTTATATTTTAAACATCAAATATATTAAATTCCTTAAGAAAATTATTAAAATTATTACTATTCAAATTTGAATAGTATCCAGAAGAAACGAAAAAAAAAAATTAATTTAATGAAAGAAGCGGTGCATCGCCATTCGATTAATTGTTTAATAAAGAAAGTATTAAAACTCATTCTTTTAATAAATGCACATAATATTGAGTAAGTAAAATTAATTTATAAATGCATATATATATATATATATATATATATATATATATATATATGGAATGAATATAAGATTTATATTTAAATTTAAATTTAATGAAAGAAGCGGTGCATCACCATTCGATTAATTGTTTAATAAAAAAATATTAAAACTTGTTCTTTTAATAAATGCACATAATATTGAGTTGGTAAAATTAATTTATAAATACATATATTATATATATGTAATGAATATGAGATTTAATAATATCATTATTTAATTGTAGGGGCTATTTAATATATCTAACATTTAATAATGATTTTGATATTCTTAAATAAAAAATTAATAATAAAAGCAACCTTTAAAAAATTTAAATTACAAGCAAACAATGATTTTGATAATGATTGGCAAAG